AGAAAAGAGTATTAAAACAAATTATGTTAAGACAAACACTCCTAAAAAAAGGTTGTATTTTCTATCATTTTCTCCTTAAAAGAAACACAAACCAGTTCACTATCTTTTAATAACTTAAGACTACTGTAATCTAAAAACTTTAGAATACATGAAACACGTCTTAGCTATCAAAGGTACCATTCAGATTTCACATATTAAACAGCTACAGTACAGCCTACGATGGCACAAGTACACTTAAAACATAAATATTAATTCATCATTTAGACGGTCAGAAGTCAGAAGGAACTGAATGGTTTGCAAGGTACTTTGACTTACATGTGGTCACTAAAATCCAGTAAGTAATTCAAAGTATGGTAATATAATCGCAGGCAATGAAAGGCTCAAATATCACTATGAAATTGAAGACATGAAAATAAAGACTGAAAACTTTGTGGTTCTCTAGCTTTCATTCACATGGCTAGATATCAGAACCTTACTGTGGAAAATATAGTTATTAAATATGATTTCCCAGAAAATAATGAAGCTGCAGAAAGTACAAAAGGTGTCAAGAGCCATAGTCGTAGTTTGCTTCATCAAATGCTCTTCTAGCTCGTTTCAGTTCTTCATTCATAGTAAACAAGTCTTTAACCCTAGCAAACTTTCCTGGGTCCTTTCGAATCAAGAAGATGATATCTTCAACTTGTACCTGACCTTGTCTTCCAATTGACGTTGCCTTGTGAGTCATTTCAGTGATGAACTCTATGACAAGGTCTTCAAGAATATCTACTGACTCAGTATAAGGACTCTGACCATCCCCAAACCCATACACCATACACCGTAATTCTTTAGAAAAAAGTCTCTTTTACCCTGTCCACCTTCTGCACCTCCTCCAATTTCTTCATTTTCCTCCTCAAAGGTGGGGTCTTCTTCATCTGCCATCTCAGCAGCCAGCCACTGCCAGTGTGCACCCGCCTCCCACGGAGCTGCTATTGCACACTTAAAAGACTACAGTGTAGTGTAAGCATAACTTTTATGTGCCCTGAGAAACCAAAAAATTTGTGTGACCCACTTTATTGTGATACTCACTTTATAGCAATGGTCTGGAACCCAACCTGCAACATCTCTGAGGTGTGCCTTACACTTACATGACAAATACTTATACACAGTTACATATACCCCCATGTGTGTGCACATGTAAATGCATACCTGTACATGCATACATGCGTGGACATATCAACATGCACGTGCACACAAACTTATACACGTATACATGTACACATACATACATAGACACATTCACACACGTGCATGTGCCTACACAATCCCGAGACCAAGCCTTGTTCAGAGGGTCTCCCCCCTTGATAAGACCTCAGAAACAGACCTCACTGGCCCAGGGAGAGCCCCCCCACTTCTCCCCTGATAGCCTGAGCTTTCTGGTCCCCCCCACCCCCTGCACTGGAAGCCACCACTAGGCGAGGTGGGGGTGGCCAGGTGCCCTGGGACAAGATAGGAGGTGATAAGCAGCACCTGGCAGAAGCAATCTCTGCTGGGCCCAGCCTTCCCCAGAACAGTCCACTCTCTGGGGAAACAGCTCTGCTATGGGAGGAGGAAGGCCCAGTTTGGTGACCAGCTGTGTCACCTTGGTAGCATTCTTGGGTAGCCCCCAAAAATGGCAGGTAGCCCCCTGCCCAGCCCCCCTCCCCTGAGGTTGCTGTGAGGATTAGCTGGGAGGCTGTATGGGGGAAGGCTTGGCAAACTGTGAAGTGACTGCAAACACAAGGTCACTCTGTGGTTCTGCCATGGCTGGGAGGTGCCTGGGGATCCAGCTGTTTGCCCCCTTCTCCCTGCTCCCCTGGGAGCCACCATCACTGCCCCAGTCCCTCCCTTCCTTCCCACAGAGGCCTCTGCTCCCCTCCCCCCACTTCCCAGCAGAAGGGTTGGAGCCAGACACTGAGATAAGGGGCTTGTTTTCTAAGGGCCCGGAATTCGGTGGAGATTGAGGGTCAGGGCCGGAGGGCACTGGCGCTGGCGGGAGGAAGGGGGGCGGGGTTAGGGCATAGTGAGCCTTTCCTTGGGGCCCCAGACCCTATGGGGACTTGCAATTTCCACCCTTTCGGGATGGCTCTGCAGGCACAGGGGGAGAGGTGGAGAGCTCCAGTTGTTGGGCCCCATCTCCACCCCTGCTCCCTTCTCCTTCAGGGCCTCAAACGTTCCGGCTGCCTCCTACCCCAATGCTCCTCCTACCCCAATCCTTTGCGCATGCTGTTCTCTCTGCCCAGAACACTCTCCCCTCTGCCTTTGTCTGATTAACACCTTAATGTCTTCAAAGCTCAGCCCAATCACTGCTTCCTCCAGGAAGCCTGCCCTCATGCCTCAGCCAGGTCCAATGCAGCTTCTCCCAGCGCCAACAGGCAGCATCCTGTCCCCATCCCGAGGACCTGACCTCCAAGGGCAGGCTGCTTTGCTCTCCTTTATCCCCAGACCCAACCCGGAGCAGACACATGGCAGAAGTCCGATGAAGGTCAGTGTCTGAGAGTCCTCTTTGCTGAGGGGTGCCCTGATCAGAGGTGTGGGTGCCTCTTCTGGTGACCTTCAGCCCCTCAGGACCGACTTCCTCCCGTGAGGAAGAGACATCTGTGGCCCACACTCTGGGAAGGGGAGCTGCTGAGTGGGGCTGGGCACTCAGAGGGAGGCCTGTCCTCCCTGAGTGAGGGAAGGTCACCCTGCAGGAGGCCCAGTCCAGGCTGTCAGGCTGCACCCCACAGCAGCACGAAGGCCCAGGGCCCTGGACTGTGACCAGTAACCATGATAGAGCAGCAGCAGGAGGAGAGCAAGCACGCATACACAGTACTCACTACCAGCCAGGCGCCAGGGTCAGCAGGAGAAGCCTTAAGTCATCAAATCCTCAACAGCGCATTTTGCATTTAAGGAGACTGAGGCACGGAGAGGTTAACTGAGTTGTCCAAAGCCGCACACCTGGTAAGTTGGGACTTGAGTCAGTCGGGTCCTTTTACCACTACCTCGCATGGCCCTGGGTGGAGGCAGCCCACCCGTGAAGGGTCGGGGGTATGGAGGAGGGGGCTCTCCATGCACCCCTCTAATTCCACCTCCATCAGAAGTCGGACGCTCAGATGGGTTGCACCATCTTTGCGTCCCTCTGCCTGGCACCTAGGCGATGCCTGACACCAGTGGGTGCTCAATAAATCTGTACTGAAAAAAGTAGATAATGGGAAGCTAGTTTTTAGGGGCAACGTAACACAGTGGTTCAGAGCTGGACGCTCCTCGCCAAGTTCATTAGCTCTCTGTGTCTCAGTTTCCCCATCTGTAAAACGGGATGAAAAGAGTACTTTTCTCCTCAGAGCTGTTTAGAGACTTTACTGCGTTCACACTTGTAAAGTGCCTGGGACAGTGCGGGGCACACGGTAAGAAGCACATGAGCGTCTGCTCTATAAAAACTTGCCTGGTTTCGGTTTCTTCTTGGGTAAGCAGAACCCTTCCTCTCCCTCATCCCTGGTTCGCGCGTCGCAGACCGCGACGAAGGTCGTACTACAACTCCCAGCATGCCGCGGGGGCCCTCTCCCGGACTTGCGCGGTGCCGGCCGTGACGAAGGCCGAACTACAACTCCCAGCGTGCCGCGGAGCCGTCCCGCCAGCCACGGTCGGCCGCGGCCGAAGTTCGGAAAGTCCTGCTGCTCGGATCCCGCCGCTCCCGGTCGCCCTCGCCGGGGAGGTCGGGGCGGGGGAGCCGAGCGCTGCCCCCGCCATGCTCCGCAGACTGGCCCGGGCTGCGACCCAGCAGCAGAGGGCCTTCTGGGCGCGGGGATCTGGGAGCCAGGCGGGGATCCCGACGCACGTGGTGGACCTGCGCAGCGACACGGTTACCAAGCCCGGGCCGGCCATGAGGCGCTCCATGGCCGAGGCGGTTGTGGGGGACGACGACTACGGCGAGGACCCCACCGTCCGCGGTGAGCCCGGCGTGCAGGCCGGGGCCGGGGGTCCTCGCGGCGACCCCAGTGCGCTGTCCATGGTGCTGGCGGGGGGAGAGGTGGCCCGGGACCCGGGGTGGCGGCTCAGCTGCAGGCTAGGCATTGCGCTTGGCGTCCTTGCGGCTCAGTCTGACGCATCACTCGAGAGCCTGTTAGAAATGCAGATTCTCGGGCCCCACACCGGACCTCCTGAGCCAGAATCTGCAAGTTAAAACAGGATCGCCGGGTGACTTGACTCATTAAAGTGTGGCCCCACTGCCCGATGAGATGGGTGTTATCTCATCTTGCAGAGGAGGGCTCCGAGCAGCTGAGCCAGGCACTCAAGTTCCCATACCGAATAAATGGCAAAACAGGACTTGAACCCAGGCCTTCTCACTCTAGCACCGTTAGCTATTGTCCTGCACCCACCACCTTCCCACATGAAGACAAAGAGAAAACCCACCTAGAAAAGGGGATTCTCCACAGGCTGCATTACCCCACCCCCCGCGAGGAGTGGGTTCTAAAAACCTAGGGAGTGTTTTCAAGATGGTGACTGGTGCCACCACCCTGGGTTGAGTTGCTGCCTTAATGAACCATTGCTATTGCTGGAGTGTGAAGGACCGTCAGCTGTGCTAGGGGCAAGCCTGAGGGTTACCACTTGAGCCCTGAGGGCCTGGATGTGGGGTCAGGTGGTGATGGGGCTGATCATGCATCCAGCAGACACCCACTTTTGCCTGAAACTTCAAAGATGCTGACCCACTGCTCAGCAGGCCACCTGATGCAGAGACAGTCACCCCCACTGAGGGGAGGGAGGTGCTGGGGTTAACGTGCATCCACAGAGAGTGCCTTGGGGACTGGCAGGTGGGGACATGGGACTCGCAGGAAATGGGGACTTTGTGGAGGAACCTCTTAAAAGATGAGTGAAGTGCTCCACCCCCAACCCTGGGCAGGGAAGGGAGTGCTGGCTCACCGGGCAGGGGAACTGCAGAAGCAGAAGCAGAGTGGTGCAAAAGGTGTCTGGGATATGGATGGGGAATGGGGCTGGAGTGGGTGTGCAGGAGAGCATTCCTGTCCCTGGAGAGGAGGCAGAAGGCAGATCCCACCGGTCCTGAATGTCACGGCAAAGGCTTCATACTGTATGCCACAGGCAGAGGGGAGCCACAGTGAGCTTTAAAGCCGGAGCTGGAAGCCCCGCCCCCTCCATCCCCCCAGTCTCCTCCAGTCCTTCTGTTCTGGGAGAGGAAGTCAGCAGAGAAACCGCAGGGCCCCACCTGCAGGGGACTGATGGGAAAGGAAGTGAGACAGGTGTGAGGTCTGGGTGGGACAGGAGGGTTCAAACCACAGAGTTTCAGTGTGTGTGGGGAGAACATGGCCCAGGAGGAGGCGGGGCACAGAGGGTCGACTGAGGGGCCCCTGGACCCAGATGTGCAGCCAAGACCACAGGCTGCAGCTGGCAGACCAGGGCTGGCGTCCTGCTTGGCTACGCACCACAGCCTTGGGCAAGATGCCCTCATCCGGACAAAGGGCTCATGGGGTCGGCAAAGAGAGGAATTTGAAAAGTGCCATTGTTGATGGGCTCCCCCCGCCGCGCCCCCATCCCTTCCCACCTCAGAGCTTCAGGCCACGGCTGCGGAGCTGCTCGGGGTGGAGCAGACCCTGTTCGTGCCCACAAACACCATGGCCAACCTCATCTCTGGTGAGCGCGGGGTGACTTCCATTTGCCCTCCAGGCCCTCCCTCCATGCTTCTCCCTTTTGTGCTGGGGGCTGTGACAACGTCCGTGGGGCTCCGAGCCATCTGGAACCTGTAACTACACCCTCCTCTCACCCCTTCCTGCCTGGTGGTCCTGCACTGAACTTCGTGACTTCCCAGCATGCTGCCACACCTTTGTAAATTGCCCCTTTATCAAATACTCCGGATTCCCAGGGTGCGAGTGCCCTCTGTTTCCTGCTAGGGCCTGACTGGTGCCCGTGCCCTGGGCCGCTTATTCCCCAAACAGCAGCATCATGGCTGGCTTCCCCACGCAGGAGATACCCTGCAGGTGGGCTGCAGGGCACAGGGGTGTAGGGTGTGCAGCGCCCAATGATCCACAGGGTCACCGTCTTAGACTTGTGGACTTAGTGAGATGGTTTTCCAGCACATGGCAGGAAGGTGTCTTGAAGGGGCGCTCTTTCCTAATTGGCATAAGGCACTTGGGAGCTAGCTGTGGCCTTGGGGGTCAGTCCGGCTGAGCTGGTTGGGGATAGATGGGCCCCATGGGACTCGGTGCCAACGCTGTCCCCCACCCCATCTACCTTAGTGATGTATCACTGCCAGCGCCGGGGCTCCCCGCTCCTCCTTGGGCAGGAGTGCCACCTCCACGTCCAGGAGCAGGGCGGGGTGGCTCAGGTAAGGGCCCAGCACCGCTCGCCTGGGGCCAGCACAGGATGCTCAGCACGTGGGGTGAGAACCTGCCTCCCAGGCACCAAGTTGGGACCTGCAGAGGGAGAAATGGTGGCCTCTCCAGGGAAGGCAGTAAGGAGAGCCATTCCCAGATTGACCACACAGGGGCGGGCTCGGCTCAGGCCAGTCGGTTTGCTGGCTGTGCTTGTAACCCTGCTGCCCCCTAGTGGGAACCCAGAGCACTGGGCGCTTAGGGAGGAGGGACCGCAGCCTCTCAAGCAAACATGGTGCCTTCAGTCCTCCCCCACCCTTAGCTGGAATGTCTATGCCCACGTCCACAGCACAGGGGGACGGCTTCACGGCCCAGAGCTGGGGAGGAGCAGACAGGACAGGGGTAGGAGGTGCTGCTGGACCCCTGGACCTCATCATTTGCACGCCCACACCTGCAGATCGCTGGGGCGCACTCCCACCCCCTCCCAGACCTGCCCCATGGCACCCTGGACCTGGCTGAGCTGGAGGGGCTGGTTGCACGGAGACTTGGGAGCCGCTCCCACCCGGTCTGTGAGCTCATTTGCCTGGAGGACGCCCACAGCAGCTCAGGGGGCCGGGTGCTCCCCATCGAGTGCCTATGCCAGCCAGGCCTGGCCCTGCCACTGTGCCCCCACCACTAGCCAGCTGCTGGCTTTCTGTCCCTCAGGCCCCTCTCCTGGGGTTTAGTCCCCTCTGATACATGCCTGGGTGCCCATCAGTGGCCAGAAGTTCTGTGGGAGACATGGGTGCTGTTCTAGGCGCAGATGCAAAGGGAATTATTGCCCCAGTGCCCAAGCTTTTCTCCAAAGAGCAGAGACCCAGTCCTCGGGGAGGCGAGTCCCCAAGCGGCACCACCTTGGTCTGGTCTTAGAGCCAGTGTGCGAGGGCTGGGCTCTGCCGCTCTCCCCTGCGAGAACTTGAGCGCTAACTAACCCTCCAGACCTATTCCTCACCTGGGAAAGGGGACTGAGGGCATCCTTCCAATAGGGCTGCGGCGAGGCTTCAGTAAGATGAGGCATTCATTGCTTGGCCCACAGTGAGCCCGCCATAAACAGGAGATAAAACCCTTATCCTCAGGCTTCCCTGGTGGCGCAGTGGTTGAGAGTCCACCTGCCGGTGCAGGGGACATGGGTTCGTGCCCCGGTCCGGGAGGATCCCACATGCCACAGAGCGGCTGGGCCCGTGAGCCATGGCCGCTGGGCCTGCGCGTCCGGAGCCTGTGCTCCGCAACGGGAGGGGCCACGCAGTGAGAGGCCCGCGTACCACCAAAAAAAAAAAAAAGAAAAGAAAAAAAAACCCCTTATCCTTGACCCCCTTTCACAGAGGACAGCCTCAGGCCCAGGCCCAGAGTGACTGCTCGGGTGCCAGATGGCCAAGCTTGTCACCAGCCAGCTCTCCTGACTCAAAGCCCTCATGCTTCCTCAAGGACACAAGCCCAGTGACCCTCCAGTGATCTTCTGGAGACCCATCCGCCCTCTGCCCCTCCCCCCAGCCTGGCCCTCTGACCCCTCCTGCCTCTCACCCCCAGGTGCACCTGCTGGCCCGGAGCTATGGGGTCCAGGTTCACCTGGATGGGGCCCGGTTGATGAACGCCGCGGTGGCTCTGTGCATGCCCCCTGCCCGCATCGTGGAGCACTGTGATTCTGTGTCTCTCTGTTTCTCCAAGGTAGGGAAGCTGCTGGGCCGCCCCCGACACAGGAGGGTAGAGATGCCCACAGCAAGAGGCCGAGTTGGGTCCCCGAGCTCCTATGTTGACAGCCGCTCACGCTGGGCCCCTCTAACCCCCTCCCCGATGAGGCCACAGTGTCGCCCATCCCTGTCCCTTTTGCCCCCTCCCGAGGACAGAGATGCACACCCATGGGCAGGCAGGCAGGACTCTCCTCTCTTCCCCCAGGGCCTCGGCGCAACAGTGGGGGCCCTGGTTGGGGGACCCAAGGGCTTCACTGAAGAAGCCTGGCGCCTCCGGAAAGCCCTGGGTGGGGGGATGCGCCAGGCGGGGGTGCTGGCTGTAGCTGCCCTGGTGGGACTGACTGACGCTGAGGAGGTGCTGCTGAAGGACCACCAGAACGCCCAGAGGTTTGCCAGAGGTGCCTGGACACCCCCCACTTCCCTTTGGCCCCAGGGGTGTGCCTTGGGGGTCCCCTGTAGCCGGGCCCAAACCCCCAGCAGGTGTGCATCCTTCCAACTCTAGAAGGTGAAGGTTAGCCGCTGAACCAGCAGGGGTGGGATCCAGGTGGTCTATGCTTTACCAGGCCACAACCCGTGCAGGTCCTAGACCAGTAGGCACCCAGTGCGTGTTAGTAATTTTCTACAGGATCCAGCAGAATGTAGCCTTTAACTTGGGTTGAGTCCTCACAACAACCCCATGATGTCCCCACTTTACAGATGAGGAAACCTAGACCCCAAGAGGTTAACGGATTTGTCCAAGGTCACGGAGCTGAAAAGTAGCAGAGCCAAGCCTGCCCATGTTAGGAATAAGACTCCCTCTTTTCCTCCCACTACAGCTGGGCTGTCCTCTGCCTTTCCTGGGGTGACACGGCTGGAGTGGTAGGGATAGTGGTGGGGTACTGGGGTTGGGCTCCACTTAACACATGACCTGGGCTCAGGAACTGGCATCCCCTGTCTGCTCCACGGATCTCACCACCGTAGAGACGAACATGGTGATGGTGAGGGTGGATGGGCTGCTGCCCGAGAAGCTGTGCCAGCGCCTGCAGACCGTGAGTGCTGACGAGGTGGCCCAGACTGGCCACGCGGTGCGTGTGCTGCTGTCCCCTGGACTGAGCGGTCAGTGCGAGCCGTGTGGCACCGTGACGTCTCTGCAGAGGACACCAAGCTGGCGCTGGGAAAGTGGGCGTTCGTGCTGAGGGCCCTGAGGATGGGGTGACAGACTCTGTGCCCTGGGTGGGATGGAGGGAGGCGGGGAGTGGAGGTGTCTCCAGGGAGTGGGTGGGAGGAGAGGCAGTAAAACAACACCCCTGTCATCCACTGGTCTCCTTGGACCCCTTCACTTCCATGACACATGGGGTGAGGCCTTCCACCTGTTCATCCAGCAAACCTCACGTGCCCCTGTGTCCGGGACAGGGGCCCAAGCATGCAGGGACAGGTGGGACCCCATGCTGGCTCTCCCAGCACAGCCCAGGAGGCAGCCACATGGCTCATGAGGGCATCTTGGGGACTTGCAGGAGGAAGTGTGAGAGGACACAGAAATGGACACTGGTATTGGGTGGCCTAGTAGGGGGCTGGGGCTTTACCTCGCAGTCATCTCATCTGTATTTACCTTTTTAAACAATAAAATTTTTGTGCTTATGAAATAATATGTCATTGCTGCACATAATTTGGGACAGGATCTCCTTTCTAGCAACTCCTGGGGTAATTTAATTTAGGCAGACTCAGTGGTTAAGACCACCCTCCTGCTGAAGTTAACAAGAAAACCTGGACAAAATATATATTTAAAAACCACTTAAGAATAACTGTTAACATTTTTGCGTATTTCTTTCTGGATATTTACATACGTATGTATATATATGAATCTGTGAATGTGTGTACAGATTTTTTTAAATAGGGGCGACAGGCCATCACATCAGTGCTGTAGAAAGCCCTTAGTAGGAATCATAGGAGGAGGACTAGCTTTGTGAGGGTAGAGGATGACTTCAGTTTGAGAGTGTCGTTTTAGCCCTGGTGCACAAGTCGTTAGAAGTGGTCGGAAGCGTAGCCATGGTGCTCAGGAGAGGGCCCGGGCTGGAGGCATGATGGTGAATGTGAGTGACACGAGGAGAGAAGGCATCTGGCGGGCCAAAGAGGCTGAAGCTGAGGACTCTCCTTCTTTGCCTCCCTCATTTTAAAAAAATTATTTAGTTATATCGTTTTGCCACACTGCATGGCACGTGGGATCTTAGTTCCCTGACCAGGGATCGAACCCAGGCCCCCTGCAGTGGAAGTGCAGAGTCTTAACCACTGGACTGCCAGGGAAGTCCCTGCCTCCTTCCCTTAGAAGAATCTAGATCTATGTATACTCTGGGAGATACAGCTCCTGGGGCTCCCCAAGGCCCCAGAACCACTCTCCTGTGCTTGAGGGGTGACAATAATACAGAGAATCAGAAGAAAGCCAGCAACTCTAAACCTCTGCAGTGTCTCCCGCCCTGCCCTGCAAAATATGTACCGTAGTCGTTATGAATTGCTTGGTAACAGACTACCCCCAAACAGCAATAATCCTTCATTACTTCTCATAGTTTCTGTGGTCCAGGAATTAGGGAGAGGCTTAGCTGAGCAGTTGTGGGAGTTCTTGGAGCTACTCAGGAAGCTGCAGTCAAGACCCTTCCTGCCAATGCAGGGAACACGGGTTCGAGCCCTCGTCCGGGAAGATCCCACATGCCGCGGAGCAACTAAGCCCATGTGCCACAACTACTGAGCCTGCGCTCTAGAGCCAGCGAGCCACAACTACTGAAGCCTGCACGCCTAGAGCCCGTGCTCCACAACAAAAGAAGCCACCGCAATGAGAAGCCCGCGCACCACAACGAAGAGTAGCTCCCGCTCGCCACAACTAGAGAAAGCCTGCGCGTGGCAACGAAGACCCAACACAGACAATAATTAATTAATTAAAACAAAAAAAAGACCCGGGCTAGGAGCTAGAGTGAACGTGAAACACCCACTGTGGACTTTGGCCAGCCAGAGACTGAGGCTTGCCTGGGCTGGCCTCACTGAGTCATGGACAGGTCTGTTCTAGAAGCAGGGGAGGGGCAAGTGCCCCTTCTCTCCACCCTCCCTCAGGGAGTTCTAGGATCCCAGGGCCACCCATGTGTGTCTGTTCCAGTGTCCATGCCTGGAGCCCCAGCCTGTCTGCAGTCAGAGAGGCCCAGGGTTAAACTCTCCCACACCCCGACCCCCAGCAAACCCACACGAGAAGCCCTGTGTGAGAGGAGGGAGAGGTCAGGTAAGAGCCTCCCAAGCTGAGAGGACCTGCCCACAAAGCCAGACCCTGGATCCAACATGAGGCCCCAGGAGTCATCCCTGCCTGTGCTGACCAGAAATAAGAAGGAGCTCAATGCATCTGCCGAAGACGACTCTGGATGGACGGACACACAGACCACACACAGGATGTCTCTCTCTGGATGGATAGACAGACAGACACATAGGATGTCTCTGGATGGACACACACACACACACACACACACACACACACACACACGCACAGCTGGTAACAGGGTTTCCCTGCACTGTTTGTAAGCCATGGGCATGTATTGTCTATTCTAAAAAGTTTTAAGAGAGTAAAGGTTTAACTGCACACAGAACGAGCTGATTTCTTTAAGGACAAATTGGCACAATGTTAAATGCTTAAAACACCAGTAGGAAGGGAGGCCCCCACTTAACCCCCAAGCTCTTTGTCCCTCAGTGGGACTCCCTTGATGCCCCCAGAGCTTCCTGTAACTTCCCAAGCAATAAAGGGAGATGGGGGGGGGGGAGGGGGAAGACCGAGGCACAAGAGAGGCCGCCATGGACGCCCCAGCACACACCCCAGACTCAGGAGGGCCCTGAACCTGAAACAAAGGCCAAGGAGGGCTTCAGGTACTGCCCAGCATGGGAGGAGAGGAGCCTCAGCCTCCCTAGACCATGATGACCGGCGTGGGCGGGCCGACCACCTTCCTGTCTGTCTGGCCTCAGAGGAGCACCAGGCCTGGGTGCGCCTCCATTCAAGGAGCCTGCAGTCAGAACTCCAGGCTCTGGCCTCTGCCACCCTGGGTGGCCCCCGCCCAGCCCCTCCCTCTCCACCCTGGCATGGCTCCCCCGCCCCATAGGACTTGCACACCTGCTTGTTCAGGGGCCCACACGGCCCTGGCAATCACAGACATTCCCCAGGGAGCTGCAGACCAGGATCGGGTCCTGGAGCGCCGGCCCCTCAGAAGGAGCAGCAGCACCAGGACGGGGACAAAGGCCTGAAAACAGGGGCAACAAAGGCATGTCCAGTCCCCTCAGCTCCCCCTGCACCTGCACATCCGAGGGGTCCCCCCAGTCCTCAGTCCCCTCCCCAGCAACGCCTGCCCTGGGGAGGGGCGGGGAGAGGACAGAATAGAGGCCTGCGTGGGCACGGGCTCTGCCATCTGCTCTGGGGTGATCTGGGCCTAAGTCTTCCTTCCGTAAAATGGGTGAATGGTAACTGCTGTGAAGGGTGACTGGGAGACTGGACGAGCAGAGTGGACGAGCGGGCAGCGCTCAGCACGGCGCCTGGCACAGGGGGTGTCTGCCGGATACCTGCTTCTCTCTCGAACTGCCCCCTCCTGAGGCCTGGGGTAGCTTTTCCGCCTGACTCAGGTACCTAGGAATGGGGGCAGCTGTGGCACACCAGAACTGATAGGGAGCAGCGAGCGCAGGCCATGGCCTCAAGAGGCCAGGAGGCCCGCTGACCACCCAGGAGCCTGCAGCACCCTCACGTGACCACCACAAGCCGGCCCTCAGCCCTTCGCTGCTGCTTCTTTCTGGGACTCAACCGTTCTCACCTCTAAGAGGAGGCTACACCACTTAGGCCCTAAAGAAACAACAGAGCAGAGGAGCCCCCCAGACATCAAGCAAGAGAAGTCTGGATTCTCAGCTCTGCTCTCAGCCCTCTGCTCACCCCAAGGCCACCCCTCCCAGCCAGGACTCCAGCCAGGCCTTCAGAACTGAGCTCCCAGCCTCCTTCCCGGGGCCTCTCAGGGCCGGGCTCTGACCACCCACTCTCAGGAGATGCACAGGGAAACCGAGCCCCTCTGCCATGACCTGCCTGCCTGGGACTCAGATGCCCACAGAGTGGGGGGCGCCCGGCTGCCGGTTCAGGCTGAGGGCTCGAGCCTCTGTGACCAGGAGGACTCCGCTGGGTGCCTCTGAGGGACAGGAGCCCCAGGCCACAGACCAGCCAAAGCTGATGCAGATGTCCTGCACGTGTCGGGGGCCGTCCTGGCGGGCCGTGTCAGCTAAGGCCAGGTGTGAGTAGCTGATGTAGGTGCTGACCCCTGCCAGGGTCAGGGCGCCTGGGGGAGGGGGTGCAGAGTGACCACTCAGCGCGTCTGCCTGCTGGGGGCGCCTGCCCTGCCTGGGCCCCTGGCCAAGGTGGGTGCGCAGACACAGCCTCGGAAGCTTCTGCCCACTGGCCTTTGGGGAAAACGGAGGCTCCGATTCAGTCCTCAAACCTCAGGGCCTCACTCCACAAAACCGCCTTGCAAACAGCACGGCCTACAGCCCCGACACATGGTCCCTCCTCACATAACTGCTTCCACATATACAGCACCCTCCCATACCCCCTGGAGTTCCCAACACACACACACACACACACACACACAGTACATGGCCAGTGACCTGTACTGGCAGCCGGGAAGGGTGGGGGGAGCTCTGGAGCTCTCATCAGACATCCTGAGCCAGGCCCCTGACCTGCACTTCCGTCCCCTGTTCCTCACAGCTCCCCCTCCCCATTTTACTGGGCCCCAGCCTCCCCTCCTGGCCCTAGCTCAGTGTATCTCTTTCCAGAGGCCCTCTCCCCTCCCCAGGTCTGAGTTTCAGCCCCTTCCTATAACTCCTGTTTTAACCCCTGTCCTTCACCAGACGAGGATGCCCTCCTCCTCTGACCCTGCATCTCTGCACAGTCAAAGGAAGGAGACTGGCTTTGCACATAGTGCCTGGCGACCCTGGAGGGCCAGGGGCAAGCGACGAGCTGGGCACTGGGACACCTGCCTGTCCACCCAGGCTCAGAGGGACCAGCCCAGAGAGTCAGCTGCAGGCTGACATCAGGGCCTGCCCTTGGTGCCCGCTGTAGGGAATGTACGGTGCTCCCTCGGGACACTGCCCAGCCACAGCAAGAGGCTGACCAGATCTGACCTTCGGGGCCAGGTCTGGATCTCACTGGGACCCAGAGAAGGGACAGAGTCTGGGGTGATGGCTGTGGAACTCATCACCCCAGGCCCTGTCCGTCCCCAACCCCCTAGCTCAGGACCCAGCCAGTGTCATGCTGGAGCTCTCTGTGTCCCTCCCTTTTCTTGCAGTGATGATGGTGATGGGGAGGGCTGGGGTGATCTGGCCTCACACAGGTCCCCTTGGTGTGACATTCCTGTCTCAGAGCCCCCAGAGCTGGTGCATCTGCCGGCACTGGCCTCACCTGGGCCACCTGTGCGGGCTCCTGACGGTGATGTCAGATGATCCATTTCCACCGGGTACCCGCCATGCAAGGAAAGCAGAGGTGCAGCCAGTCTGGCTTCTGAGCAGTGGAGCAGACAGGGTGTTCTTGGAACCAGGCCCACTGCCGGCCCGCCCTCGGAGTCAGCGGAGCGCCCCCTAGCAGCTGCCTGCAGACCCTCCCTCCACCCACTGGCCAGTGCCTTGGTTCCAAGCACAATACCAAGTCAATACAAATTCCTCCTGCTCTCATTCTCTACACCAAACACCTAGGCTGCTGGTCACCCTGGCAACTGGCACCTACTCCCTCCTGACCAAGGCCTCCCAAAGGGCCCAGCAGCCCCTGGGGAGGATGCAGGCCTGCCCAGGAGGGAGCCCCAGGCCAGTGTGTTCTGGTCCTCGTGCCACAGCCCTGACAGTGGAGCTGGCCCAGGACACCAGACTCGGCTCAGGGCTGGCCCTGGATGGAAGGGGTCACTGAGGACTGACCCTGAGGAGCCTCCAACCCACGGTCAGCGACAGCCAGCCGTGGGCAGCTGGGGACAGCGGGTGGGTGGCTGGCTGGGGCAGACAGCACAGAAAGGCAGTGAAGAGGACTCCAGGACAAGCTTCCTGCTGAGCTCAGGGAATCCTCGGACCTCTCAGCAGGAAGATGCGACCCAAGTGCCTGCAACGCTGTGTCCCTGAGGGAGGGCTCGGCCCAGAGCCTGCGGGCTAGACGTACGCCAGCTCATGCACTGTTACTAGCTGCAGTCTGGGCCTGGCTTGGGGTCACTGCCAAGGACTCCAAGGTCCCGTCTCACCCTGTCTGGCAGATGCCAACCCCCCTGCCTGCATTGCCCCCTCACCAGGGTGATCTGGGAAGGACAGGGAACAGGTGCGGGTTGGTCCGCCACCCCTAGTGCACGTCCAGTGGGGCAGTTCCTGGGACCCCTCAGAGATCCTCGTTCCTCCTGCGCCTGGAAGCTCAACCCTGGGGCTCCCCAGCCCCAGTCCCTGGCTCTGGGTTCACGATCAGAATCCCTGCCCCTACAGAGGCCCCAGAGCCACCCAGGGCGCCCCCGCCTGCTGCAGCTCAACGGTCAGGGTGGGCCCCACGCTCAGAGCAGCGGGGCTGGGGGCGTAGGGGATGGGGCAGGAGAGGCAGCACCCCACTGCCAGGAGCTGCGGCCCTCACAGCCCCCAGACTCACCCCCCCAACAAGAAGCGGCAGCCCATGAAGAGCAGCCGGGGGAAGCTCTGGGCCGGGGAGCCGAGGAGGCCACGGATCCGGCCGCACACGACAAGGACGTGGCTCGGGGGCAGGACCACCACGAGGGCTCAGCGCAGCGCTGCCGGGAGAGGGGTTTCAGGGAGCAGGAGGGGACCCGGACTGGCCCCCCAAGGAAAGCCCAGCTGAGCACTTCAGAGCCTTGTCTGCCTGGAGGTCCTCCTTCGTAGGACGCTCGGGACTGTCTTGGCCTTGGCCAGAGGAGGAGCTGGGCCATCCGATTCCCTCTGATGTCTCCACGGTAACCACCTGACCCTCCCAGGGGCCACCCCTTGTCCTGGCACAGCCTTCCTGAGGCCCAGGGTGAGGGAGGCTTCCCAGTGCCCTCCCCAACCTCCCAGGCTTCTCTGGGGCAGCAGAGATGTGCCCCCAACTCACCAGGTGGGAGATGCCCACCGGGTAGACCCATTTGGAAACATAAAGGAGAGTCAAGAAGGGGCATAGGGAGGGCAGGACAGGCTGGGGGTCGGGCGCCTGTGGTCACAAGCCAATAGCAGAGCATGGGGGCTGAGGCCAGTCATGGGGTTTTTCAGATACATATGGCAGTGTCCTCTGGGCAACAAAGGGTCCAGCTGGAAGCAGTTCTGTGGGCCTAGGATGAGGGGGTTCTGAGCCTTGCCTGGAGATTAAGGAAGGATGGGGAAACGCTTGCCACACCAGCACGCACACATGAGGTGCTGCGCCAAGGTGGAGGCGTCAAGGCTCTCAGTGGCAAAGGGGTCAATCGGGGGATGCAGCTGTTCTGCCCTAAAAAGCAGAAAGAACGCAAAACCTGGTGGGCTGGACCCACCCTGTACTTCTCAGAGATAGGTGGCCTGCAGGTTCTCACCCCCGACCAGAGCTGAGGGCCCCGAGAGGTGGCCACAGGGCCCCATCAGGTCCTCTCCTGCCACTTGGAGTTGAGGCCCCAAACGGGTTTGGACGGCTCAAGACCTTTTGTTTGTTTATTTAATGTACAAATAAGACCTACGTGGGTGCCTGTCGAAAAGTTTCAAACACTGCAGAGAGGCTGCCCTCAGGCCTCCCTTGGGCCGGCTCACACGTGGAAGCCAGGCTTTGCCTGCACAAGAAAGGGGCTCTCTGACTCTCGCACACACGGGCACACATGCGTGTGCACACAGGCAAGTCGGGAGAGCCTTGGAGCCTTGGGCTGCCTGTGGGGTGGCTGAATAAACTGCACTGTCCTTCCTCCCCGGCAGCTCCGAGGAGGCACTGTGTCACACACACGCACAAACGGACCTTGCTCACATACACGTGCACACTCGTTTACTCATGCTCACGCACATCCCTGCCACCCTGTGCACGTCCTGTGCAGCGGAAGGCCCCCAGGCTGGCCCCAGCTTGGCGAGGCCCGCAGCTGGGGTGCGTGTGGAAGCCCGCTGCCTCTCCCCACCCCTCGCCGAAGAAAGCCCTCCCCGCCCCTGCCCGGGTCTGAAGCCACGCGGCGCTCTGGTTTTCCGCCTGTGTGTCAGGCCATCGGGGGTATGGGAACAGGGGCCCTGCGCCACAGCCCTGGCTGTGCCTCACAGGGACCGGGGCTAATGGGGTGACCAGACCGAGCCCTGGACGGTAATAAAGAAACAACTCCCAGTCACTGGGATGAGGAACCCTGGCCTTGCCAGGGCCCCAGCTCCCCACACTGGGCCTCCCTCCTGCACACTGGCTCCCAGCTCAACCCCAGGGCCCCTGCAGACAAGTGACAAGAACAGCAGCTGAGCACCCCTGGGTGCTGGGCCTGCCCGTGTCTCCCCTCCCTAATTCCTCCCACCCCGAGCCCTGCATCCAGAGAGGCATCATTTTCTCCCCATCTGACAGATCAGAACTTGGAGGTTGAGGGACAAGGTCCCAGGTCACCCAGCAGTGTCCTGCCATCACTTCCAACGCAAGACAGGCCCCCAAGGGCGAAGCCAGGGGACCGTCAAGGGCTCCTGCTCTGGAAGGCTCTTGGGTCCTTATGGCGCCACCCAGTGCCCCCCTTTTCACTTCCCACCCTTGGCTAGGCCCTGAGCCAGAGTCCCTTCCTCCTCCGGCCAGACTGTCACCAAGACAGGTGGGGGAAAGGGGTGCCTGAGAGACCCCCTTGTGGGCAGACAGGCAGGGGATGGGGCAGCCTCTCAGAGCTGCTCTGGGAGGAGGGGGTGTGGCCCCTGGGTCTGAGGGGAAGGGGTCACGCGGGGGAGGGGCAGCCGGTACCTTCGCAGATGCGCCAGAGCCGCGAGTGGGAGGGTGGCCGCTGTGGTTGCCTGCGTCCGCCACCTGCAGGAGGTACTGGTCGCTGGCCACGGCGGCACCAGCAGTGCAAAGCTGAGCAGCACGCCCAGCCGGGCCTTGCGGGTCGGGGGTGCAGGGACCGGAGCGGAGCCGGGTATGGGGGAGAAGAGGGAGCCAGAGGGTGAGGGGGAGCACGGGAAGCTGGCACTTAGGGGGTGGAGAGAGCCGAAAGTGGGGGGAGAGGGCGTTCTGGAACCTGGGGGAGTAGGGCCAGGGAGAAGGGCTGGGGGGCACTTGGTGAGCAGGACCGGGGAGGGGGCGCGGGGAGCGGGGAGTGGGGAGCCGAGCGGCAGGCGGGCACTCCCGGGGCTCTTCTGGGTGCAGTGCCCCTCTAGTTCGTCGGGAACTCCCACCTGTTGGTGATCGCGTGATAGCCCGCCCAGCTCGCCCCTGAGCTGTGTTCAAACGCCAGCATCCCCAGCGAGCTGGCTGCTGGCTGTGGGTCCCTGGGCAAATTTCTTAATTTCTCTGACCCTCCGGTTCTTCAGCGCCCAGATGGCCAGGCTGAGGAGGGAGGGTGGGGCTTGAAATGGCCCGCGCGGGGGCTCAGCAGGCAGCCCGCCACCACCCCGCGTGCACACGCTGGGGCACTCGGCTGCTAGTTGGCCCTGCGTCCTGGTCTTCATCAGTCCCCAGGACCAAGCACCACAGGGATCTGGTGAACTGGGTGGGCTGGTGAGGGGCTACAGAAGGAAGGAGTCTTGCTTCCTTTTAGCTCCAATTACAAATGCCGAGTGAGGCAAGGCCAGCCTCTGCCTGTCCGTCACTCACGCACAAACATAAACGAAGCTTCTCCTAGGACAGGTGTCAGGTGCTCGTGGGGTGGCAGGCAGAGAGGCCCCCATCAGAAGCAGGCCTGTGACATGTGTGGGACGGACAGGCTGGGGCTGTCACAGTGAGGCTCTCTGGGGTTCAATCTTGGGAGACGGGAGGGCCTCCTCTCCAGGTCCCTGGACTGTGCATTGCTGTCCCCCTCCCCTGATGCAGGGCAGAGACGGGGGTCAGAGGCCTCACTGAGGGTGAAACTTCTCAGACGAGCAGCTTCTCGACTTAGGGTCATCCCAGGGCTCTCATTTCCAAGTGTTTGGTTTTCTCAGCCCCCTTTTCCCTACCAGGCTCTTCTAGGTTTGAGGAATATAATCAGGAAGTGAAAGCGGTCCTAGCAAAGTAAGTCCTAGCAAAGTACCTAGGAAGTATGGTTTCAGTTACTGAAACCATACTTCCATTCAGACAGAGAGGCATGGAACAGTGTGGTATCATGCAGGCCACGCGTCGTCCTCACGCCACAGCCAGGGGCACGCGGCGGGGTTGGGGTGGGAGTGACCCTAGCTGTGGCGGTCTCAGTACCCTCTTTCCTGACAGCCCTCCCCCAGCCCCTGCTCCGGAAGCTGGGTGCCAGCCAGGGGCCCTCCTCTCTCAGGGAGTAGTAGGCCTGGAAGGTGAAAGAATCCAGGAGGCAGACAGAGAAAAGCAGGTGCTCAGGGAGTAGCAGCCATCTACAAAGGCAGGGCGGCAGGTGGTGCTGGGAGTGGGGAGGATGGGAGAGTGGGGTGGAGCTGGAAAAGCAGGTAACGACCCTAACACACACCTCACAATATGACAGAGATGGACACTGCTTCTGTGTGTGTTTAAGCTACGATCGTGACTGTGTTTAGGGAGAACTAGAGGAACCCTGTGGCTGCATGCTCCACACGCTTCCTCCCAGTGCCCCTGCCTCTCCGCCTGAGCTTGTTTGAAAGGGTCTCCTTTGCACCCCATAAAACTTAAACAGAGCAGGATTCAGCTGTCAGGGCCAGAGACAAGTGCTGTTTGAGGCCACTGTGCCTCCAGAGCCCCACGTCTCTGTAGAGGAACAGACATGCATCCTGCTCATGTTGCAGTGTAGATGGCCAGGTGAGCAGTCTACTCCCTACTGCTTTAAAGCCCTGGTGCAGGGTTTTAAACCCTAGATGTGTAAGTCAGAGCCACTGACTGCATTGTCCCCAGACAGTGGGTGCTGGTCCTTGAGAGGCCACTTGGATGAATTCCGCCAATCTACCTCTCTTGAGATGGATCCAGATTATACCGTAGCCCAGTGAAAAGGTACCGCTTAGAATGACCCATTATTTCTCATTATTCATCCTCCTTTCATCAATTTGCAATCCAGAACTAGTGAGCACCAAGCCTGTCACCAGACTGTCGGGACCTCTTCAAAGCCAGCATCAGACCACTACCACCAAAATCAGGGGCAGGCGTCATCTTTGATAGAAGAAATCCCAATTACATGTGACAAAACAGGGCTGCAGCCAAGCCTCTTTCCTTTAAACTTACACTGAACTAACTCACAGAAGCTGAAAGAACAGGATGCCTGAGTCCAGTGACAGACTTCCTGCTCCAGGCCGACGACGCCATAAATGGCCTCCATCGCAGGACTGGGAAACAGCTGAAACCACTGGCGAAATTACTGTGAGAGCAGCTCAGCACCAGCTATACTACAACTAATCTCACCACATTTGGCAAACATCCTCCAACAGAAAATGAACTTTCCTAAATCACCCTTCCCGACAGGTCAGCTCCTTCACTCAGGGTGCATTATGAAGCGAATTCATCCTGGTAGACTCTTCTGGTCAAAACCAACCCTTCTAAAGGGTTCTCAAATGATTGGGGTCACAGGTGGGAAGCACTGATGTGCAGGGCAGCAGCCGCATGGCTGGTCGCACTCATCTCCCAGGACTCACAGGCCTATGAAGGGCTCATCGTGGCCGCCTTGACAGGCTTTGCTAAGAGGGGAACGGGAGCAAGCCACCCCTCCCCCTCATCACAGAATGCACCTGCTGTCCCCAGAACGGACCCTCCCGTCCCCTCTGCCTGGCACATCTTTCCCTTCCTCAGCCGTCTGGCAGCCTCCTCCTCGTTCCTGACAGGCAGGATGCTCTGAGAGTTCCTTGTCATCTTCTTGGTGCTCCCATGGACACACTCATATGGCTACTAGGTGGCCTGTACCTTCCCACCATTCAGAGAACAAGGAACCCGTGAGCTCACTGCAGGAGGCTTCAAGCCCTGGACATAGCACCTGGCGAACAGGTGCTCAAGTGTCTGAGCGAACAGATGGACAAACGTCACCACCTTGGAGATCAGGTGGAAAACTGCCACAGAAACCTAGGCCCCAGTTTGGTCCCAGCCAGCTGAAATCCGGCTCAAATGCTGTAGGCTGGGCCAGTGGAGAGAAAACCTACAGCTCAGTTGGCTCTTTGCTTCAAGAGCTAGATTCACCCAGGGTGAGACAGGAACTCCCCGGCGATGGTAAGCCTGGCTCAGAGCTCGCTGGGCTGTACCGCTCACCTCCTCAGCTCAGGCCTTAGATGCTGGAAGCGACTCCAGACACTGTACTGTAGTTATGACAGGAGAGGTTGGGCGAAGAGTACCCAGAAACCCTGTTCCAGCTTTACGACTTCCTGTGAACCTTAGTTCAAAATAAAAAGTTAAAACTTGTACAGTGAGGATCCATGGAAGCTCAGCAGGCAGGTGTCAGTTTACATGAGGGCCTTTGTGACAAAGCTGTCTGAAAAACGGAATGGGGACGGTTTACAGCACTAGCCCCCAGGGGTCAGGCTGTTGCCAAAAGCCATCCCCCGCTGCACCCCCTCAAGGCTGGGCACTGTCATTAGACAGTGAGGGCCCAGCTTTGGGGATAGACAGCCTGGATTCAAATTCCAACCTGAATGCTTACTAGTTGTATGATCTTGGACAAGCTATTTCACCTCTTTACGAATCTCCATTTCTGCATCTAAAAAATGCGGGTAAGATCACATTAGACTTTACTGGCAATTGTTATTTCTTTTTAAGTGAGTACAACCTGCAAAGAGTGGTCAGCATCCCAAGGGAGTGCCAACCTGCAGGCAATGGCTGGCTGGCTGGCGCTCCAACCTGCAGGCAATGGCTGGCTGGCTGGCGCTCCATCTTTCGCTGAGAATGGAAGATCCCCATTCCCCAGGCTGCCCACAGGCTCTAACCATGTCACACCTGACACCATTAACCACCAGTTACAACCCTTCCAGACTCCCTCCAACCTGGAGAACCTGAGAGGCAGACACATATTCGAGAGAAGGTTGAGGCTGTTGCCCTTAGCAAGGGTCTTAGACTTCATTAATAGATATCTAGGAAACTTCCCGACGCTGGCGGCCATTAAGGTCCAGCAATAAATATGGTTTTTAGAACAAAAGTTTCTAGAAGAGGAAATGTGTAAGATGGTCTGAGGGGTCGGCCCCAGCTTTGCCTTGCTCCACAGCACAGCCCGACAAAGCCGAGAACTGCAGCAATACCCACTGTGCAAAGGAAACTGAGCGCAAAAACATTTTCTCAGCTTCTCTACAAAGCCAGTTTGGAAGGACCAGTTATTAAAGTGAAGTATCCATTTACAGATTGGCACAAATATCAAAAATAAGCAGCTGAGATGAATATAAAGGCGCGAGTGCTTTTTTCCCCATAACAAAAACCTCTGCAATATTCTCCAAACTTGGAGGGAAAAATTCATTTTACTCTCTGAGATGTGGCAGAAAAACCTAAGTCTGAGGTGCATTTTTCATAGCCGGTTTATACACGGAATGAGTCCAGATGACACAAACAAATGGTTCTGGGTTCAAGTGGCTCTTGCAGAGGAGCCCAAGGCTGGCTCTGTCTCTCTGCGAGGACTCATCCCTCCCCTGCAACCGCTGGGGCGGGAAGGATCAGTTGGCAGGCTAAGAAGGGACCACCACCAAAAGCCAACAATATTTTAAAAGCCCAGTAGGGTCTGCAGTGTTTGAAATGAAATAGTTTTTATTCTTGGCAACTACCAAGATGACCCCCAGAGGTTTCCAGTAGGACAGTGACAATCCACCCTGCAGCTTAACTTTGTGAAGGAGGATGAAATCAAATCTATCATCTTAACATCAGGCCTCAGCCCTGCGTGAGCCGGCCTCGGGGAGGAGAGCAGGGTACCCGTGCGGAGGTGGTGATGTGGAGAATGTGGCACAGATGTGGAGCAATGGAGACACAGCCATTCAGGGCTGACAGATCGCCTGCAGCAGCCCACCAAGTCTCCACAGCTCTGAGCCAAGTCATTTAGAAGGGATTCAGGCCACTGTACTGTTCCGGGGAGCAGCAGCCAGTGTGCGCCCTCCGCCTCACCAGGGCGGCTAACTGTGCAGCAATTTCGTAAATGACAGTTGCTGCTAGATATTTCCTGCTGCTTTACTTTGTCTCCAAATCCATCTAAAATTCACATTGGTGCCCCCAGTGACTAAGAAAGGCTTTGTGCTTACTTTTAATTGTAGTTTGTCCTGTTCTGTGAAATAATAATTCAAACAAACAAAAAAAAGAAAACAACATTGCAGAATGTTGTGCAGAGGGGCCGAGGGCTTTGTCTCAATTCCTCTCCTCCTCAAATGAAAACCATGTTGCTACAATAAAAAAAGCCAGCTGAGGCAACAAGGTTCTAGGATCCCCACATCACTGGTGAGGAAACTGCAGCTCCAATTCAACAGGCGCCAGTCCCAAGCCCACAAGGCAAGCACACCGTTAGAGGGCACAGTCAGGGCCCGGAGTGGGTGTCCCACATGCCTTTTTTACAACTGTTCCAACTCTCTGCTCAGTCCGTGCTGGTGCTGAAACTCAAATATCACTGAATTTGTGATCCTGCAAGACTGCAAACAACATAAACGACTCATCTATGTTTTTAAGAAGTTTCCCCCAAAGAGGTTTTCCAATCCACTTTTTAAATTAATTTATTCCTTTAGGAAGATTCACATTAGAAAGACAGTGGAATTACCAGCTGCCTAGGCCACATCATTAATGGGAAGCAGCTATTCGAAGAGTATTAGAAACATTAAGAACAGGAACTCCCTCCTTGGAGTTTTCGTCCCACCCCTGCCTGCTGTGTCCATGGATGACAGCTGGTCCAGAGCAAAACCTCCCAGGAAGAAGCCCCTCTGTGTGCCCTGCTAACTAAAGAGGAAGAAGCAGTGAGCCAGGCTTCTGGAAAGATCCTTGTCTGGCACAAAGGACAACCTTCTCCTCGTCCACTATAGAGAAATGTTGCAAACTTTCCATGTGCCACTGGAGGTGAAGAAGTATCTTCAGCTGACCTCAAAAGCAAGAGGGCAGCTCTACTCTCAAGACATCAGTCCTTCTGCATCCCCTCCACCCCCCAGCCGCTCACGCTACAGTCATGGAAAGGGCTCTTACACAGATCAAGTCCAGAGGCAGAGTCTAGGGTCTAATCCCATAGCTCCCCCTTGTAAACCTGCAAATCACAAGATGGGATGGCGAGGAACACCTCACACACAGGGCACCTTCAGAGGCATGGCAGGGATGGGTTTGTACAATCCACCTGGGAGGAAGGGAGCTGCTGAGACACCACAGACCTGATGCGATAAAAAGGTATAGTCACAGGACCTGCAGCCGTCAACGTGAGATAATACAGAGCACCTGGAACATGAGAAGTGCACACAATAAATGGAGATTATTACGCAAATGAAATTTAAAATGGCATTCTTAATCCTGTTTGTCCAGTCACAATGGACCAATGATCACATTCACACATCGCATCTCAGCTGGACAGCCAGTCGTCAGTGTGAAGCCCAGACAGGTCACTGTAAAAGGGCTCTACCCACGTGGACAAACTTCTCCCCTCACCCTAAGTCCAGGAATCAATAAAGCAAAAACTACCAAAGAGAAAAAAGAGAATCCGTCACTGTACTTAGCACCAGCTGTACAACAGAAATAGCCCCTGGCACCGCCTTCAAGGAAAAACCCAAAAATACAGGTAAATATTCTAATTTCAAAGTGTTGATGTTCTCCTTTCCTAAGGCACAGTTAAGAGGCCCCAGAGGAAAGCTGGTAATGCTGAGGGCTGTGCCTTGGAAAGGATGTGTCTGTGTCCCTGTGGGGCAGTGACGGTGGGGATGGCGTCACTCCGAGGCAGCTAGCTGCTCAATGGCACAGCGGACTTTCTTTGCAGTTTCTTCAAATTCTTTCTGTTTATTGTTGGTTTCCTTTGCCTGGAAATAAAGAATAGACACATGAAACTGAAGCTCTAGGCATGCTCGAATAGAGATGCCCAGCTATGTGGGGTAAATGTCCTCATTCACCTCATCTGCCTCTCTCTCTCTCTCTCTTTTTTATCGGCCATGCCGCTCAGCTTGTGGGATCTCAGTTCTCCGATCAGGGATCAAACCGAGGCCCCAACAGTGAAAGCGCCGAGTCCTGACCACTGAACCGCTGGGGAATTCCCCTCAACTAGCTCTAATTTGAGCTGTCCCACAATAATTATAACAGAAAACACTGATGGACCGCTTTGCTTGTACCAAGCACCATTCTACCTGCTCCACACACCCTAACTCACTCACTGCTCCATGTCCCCATGAGGTAGGTGCCACCTTTATCCCCATTACACAGATGAGGACACCGAGGTCCACAGCAGCAGCCAGCTCAGGGGTACCAGCTAGTCTGTGGCAGAGCCCTGCTCTTCCCCACTACCCTACATTGCTTCTGAAGCTCCCACAGAAAGTCCGGAGCCCTCTTCTTGTTCACTTAAACAGACGCCGTCAAGCATCAGCGTGCTCCTCAAACAGAGAAACCTTCCACCTGCAGCAGCTCTCTAAATCTGGCTTCCAACCTTTCATTCTTCTAAGTGCTCTCTCCAGGAGGACAAATGACAATCACATCAACAAATCCAGAAACCTCCTCCCTAATTTTCACTCTCCTGATTTCTCTGCCACATTAAAAAACAAACAATAGACTTTTATTGGGTTAAATGTTTTCTAATAAGAAAAACAACAGAGGTAACTTCTTTTCAAAAGGAGGTGGCAGCGATGCAGGAGCAGGAGCAGAGAGCACGTGGTGCACTCCAGGGTCAGACCCTGAGCCCCGGCTCTACCTCAGCCACACACGTGCCCAGCGTCAGGCCCAGGTGGCTGCCTGACCAGTGGTCCTGTCAAACTGACCAGCAGCATCTCAATTAAATGCAGGGTCTCAGAAATTCACAGCATCACGACAAACAACACTTGTTCCTCGTTTTCAGTATTTGTAAACTGCAACACATAATTATCTCACCTGGATAAACGTTTGCCTTACAGCTGTGTGCTGCAATCCCATAACTGACTTAATAAATGGTTTAAAAGTTCAGCTCCCAACTTATTTCCACCCCACGGTACAGTCGAGGTCCGCACGCCATCCCACCTCCAGGAGCGATGTACCCTAGAGGGGCCGTCCAGGAGCTCTAGCAGGAAGCAGACAGGCCTCTGGTTATGCCCATTCCCTGCACTCTGACCCCAAACCTTACTGTCCACATCCATTCACATGCAAATGTGCCTAGGGACACAAGGGGACCTGAATTTTTATATCAGTGATAAATTATTTGCAACAAACCTCAAAATTGGGTGTCACTCTAGAGCAGCCCTGTCCAACAGAATTTTTTGCAATGATGAAAATGTTCAATTGTCTGCACCGTCCAGTAGTCACTGGCCACATGTCGCTAATGAGCAGATAAAATGCTGCTAGTGCCACTGAAGGACTGAATTCTAAATTTTCTTTGATCTCCTTTTCTTTCTTTTTTCCGGCTGTGCCGCATGGCTTGCAGGATCTTAGTTCCCCGACCCGGGATCGAACCTGTGCCCTCGGCAGTGAAAGCACGGAGTCCTAACCACTGGACTGTCAGGGAATTTCCCCCAAATATATACATTTTAAAATGATCTGGGGGACTTCTCACAGCTTTCTCACAACTGTTCCTGAAGTACACAAAGCTTGTCTTTTACCTAGAACAGGAGTGGCAAACTACGCCCTGTGGGACACATCCATCCAGCCCATGGCCCGTTCTTAACCCAATGGCTAAGAATGCTTTTTACATTTTTAAACACTTGTGGAAAAAAACAAAGAAAGAATAATCTCTAACAGAAACTCTGTGGCCCAGGAAGGCTATACACTTACCATCTGCGGCACTTCACAGAAAGTGAGCTGACCCCTAATCTCGAAGGCCCTCCCTAGCCCCCTTCCCAATTCCAGCACTGCAGTTCCCAAGACCTCCATCGAATACACCGCTTTACTGACCACTGATTTCTTCTCACTTCCTGAAAAAATTTTCAATTTTGTCCTTAGCATTTAAAAGGTACCATATTACACAGAATTATTTCTATTGATCTCTAAAAAGGAATACGATTTTCAAGCTGAAAAGGACCTGAGAAACTACAGAAGTCTATCCTCCATTTTACAGCAAGGAAACTACGACCAAGACTGGCCTAAACTCACAAAGTCTGTGAGTGGCAGAGACAACTGGTACATCTGGACTCCCTGCCCAGGGCTTTGCTAAAAATAGATTAAATACCTGAATATTTACTCTCTGTAGAGCTGCCAGATTTAGCACATAAAGATAGAGCCTGCTCAGTTAAATTTGAACATCATATAAACGAGTAATTTTTTAGTAAACAGTCATACAAAATGTGAGATATACTAAAAAAATTACTCCTTGTGTACCTGAAATTCAGACTTAACTGGGAGTCCTGGTTTTCTCTGGCAACCTTAATTCTCTACAGCCCAGGCTGCTTGGGAGCTGCCTCTTTGTGGACTCATTGTTTCACTCTTCCAATAACCCAGTGCAAGAGCCTAAGTTCGCCTGCAGAAATCCCTTCAAGGTCCAGTAGGACTGGTGCTTCTTTCTCCCAACACACATAATGCCCCTTTCCCAATATGCTGTCTACTCTGTGTCCCCAAACCCTCTGTTTCCACCACTGCTAACACATGAACACACCCCGTATAAATGACCTACCATCTCAGTTGTCACTAAAGGCAGAAATGCCAGCCTAGCCATCACATGTCCCACCACCAGAGGTAACCGCACACTGAGGACACCTCTACTCAGGGGATCCGTTTTTCTCTCTGCACAACCCCAAGGCCACACTCCAGGACAGATGCTTTTCTACCCTTTTATATCCACACGCACACACATCAGAGGGGCTCAGAAAGTGCTTACTGAGGAAAGGCGTCTATGCAGTGCTTGTGGCGGGCTAGGGAGTTTAGCACTAAAGATGCCGAACAGGATTTGTGCTTGCTTCTTATTCCCAGTAATACATACAATTTTGTTCTTGGCTCTTTCTTTATCCAGTTTTAAAAATTCGCTGAGGGTTAATTCTTCAAACTGCTTCTTGACAGAAAGGAAAGCACAACCAGATGAATGCTTTTTATGTTCTTCTCTAGAAAAAGCAACACATGAGCACGTCAACAGAGAAAATTCAGGTAAAGGGAGAAAGGCAACAGTTTGTTACCACCAGCCCCCTCCCCACCTCACAGACACACACTGCTCTGCTTCAGGAGCAGAGTGTGAAGTCTGAAGTGGACGGAACCAGGGGCAGGACCCACATTCCCACACAACTTGTCTCAGCACCTTCTTGCTCTGTGGACTCCCCCCAGCCCCACCCATATCCTGTGGCTGATGTAGTCTACCTGGAGTCCTTTAGCAATTAGTAGGAAAAGTGTTAGAGTATAAATCCAAAGGTATCACATGTCAAAGCCCTTAAAATCCTCCAGGAACCATTTGCAGTTGTCTCATTTCACTCGAATTATTACATAATCTGTTGGTTTGGAAAAAGGGCACCACTGACCCAGTTTCTCCAGTGAATTCCTCTGCCTCATACCATCATTCTGTGCATTCGGAATTATCCCTGCTAGCGGACAGCACTATAACGAGAACAGTCTGGGGAGTTCCCTGGTGCTCCAGTGGTTAGGACTCCACACTTTCACTGCTGAGGGCCCAGGTTCAACCCCTGGTTGGGGAACTAAGATCCCGCAAGCCGCGCGGCACGGCCAAAAAAAAACCAAAACAAAAACCAGAACAGGCTGGAAGGAACACCCAGCCATGCAAATTCCAAAAGGACAGCCAATAGTAACTATAATCTGAAAATATTATAGCACTTGGAAATTCACTCCCAAGAATACAACCAGTATTTCCCCAGTGATACCTGGTATGATCACCATATCATCCCAGTCAATACTGGGTCATGAAAGCAAACACATTAGGGAAAACAGCAACACTCTTCTTGCCAAGAAGAGAAACCACTCCGGTGATTCTCTACGAGGAAAAAAAGTTCAAGCCGTGGAAGCAATTGATTCTGACAGGAGAAAAAACGGTGCGGGGAAAATGTGGCATTACATTACGGGAATATTGTTGTCTGTATGAATATATGCACACAATAAAAAAAAACTAGATGCCCTAAAGAACAAAATCTAACCCAAAACTGAGTGTACTATTTTAAGGGGTGGTTTTTGTGCTGTATGAATTATAGTTCAATAAAGCTTCAGGGATTCCCTGGTGGCGCAGTGGTTAAGAATCCGCCTGCCAGTGCAGAGGACATGGATCTGAGCCCTGGTCCCGGAAGATCCCACATACCGCGGAACAACTAAGCCCGTGTCGCACAACTACTGAGCCTGCGCGCTAGAGACCGTGAGCCACAACTACTGAGGCCCACGTGCCACAACTACTGAGCCCACGAGCCACAACTACTGAGCCCGCATGCCACAACTACAGAAGCCCGTGCGCCTAAAGCCCGTGCTCTGCAACAAGAGAAGCCACCGCAATGAGAAGCCCTCACCGCAACAGAGTAGCCACCGCTTGACAAAACTAGAGAAAGCCCGCGTGCAGCAACGAAGACCCAACGCAGCCAAAAACAAATAAATTTATTTAAAAAAAAGCTTCAGATTTAAAACCTCTGAAACAAGAAAGGCACCTGGACATCCCTAGGTCACAACAGGATCTGCTCCAGTATTCTGTCTAACCGGAAAGGTATCAAGCACCTACAAGAAGGAGCCTTTCTTCAACACTCCACCCTGGAGGACATTCGGCCAAATCAGATTTGATTAGGTTGAAAGCATCACCAAGGTGCCAGCAGAGACTCATCCTTTACAGCAGCTGTTTAGGGCACAAACGAGGCTGGAAAGCCACAGGTCCTTCAATAATACTTCGAAATTCAGATGTTTTGGGGGGAGCCCAACTCAAAACAAACGGTCCTATGGACATATATACACTACCAAACGTAAGGGAAGCAGCCGCATAGCACAGGGAGATCAGCTCGGTGCTTTGTGACCGCCTGGAGGGGTGGGATAGGGAGAGTGGGAGGGAGGGAGACGCAAGAGGGAAGAGATATGGGAACATATGTATATGTATAACTGATTCACTTTGTTACAAAGCAGAAACTAACACACCATTGTAAAGCAATTATACTCCAATAAAGATGTAAAAAAACAAACAAAAAACAAACCAAAAAAATCCCCCAAACGGTCCTGAAGTAACTGGGGAACCCCGGAAGCCCAGCGAGGCTGGCCTGAGGGACTTACATAGGGTCGTCATCTGGCTCCCAGCCTTCCAACTCCTTGAAGCAGAAGAAACACTGAGCCAAGTCGGGCTCGTTCTCAGTTGGACAGTGGATGAAGCCGGCCGCGGCCATCTGCAAAGCAGAGCTCGGCTCAGGCCCCAGAGCGGAGGGGTTCCCCCGAGATCCGGGAGGCCACAGAGGGGCTAGAGCCCGCAGAAGGGGTCGCCCCAGGGGCCCGGGAACCCACAGAGGGACCAGAGCGCGCGGGAGGGGTCGCCCCGGGGGCCCACAGAGGGGCCGGGGCCCGCGGGAGGGGTCGTCTCAGGGCCTGGGGCGGGGCTCTGGGGGCGGGGCGGGCCTGGGGACTCCGAGAGGCCGCGCGGACTCACTCGCTCCGGGGTGCAGGCGCAGCCCTCCAAGAAGGGCCAGTTCTTAAATGTGGAGACACGATGGTCCTTGAGGTAGAGCTGCCAGGCCGGGGGCAACGACGGGGTACTCATCCCGCCGCCGCCGAGCGGTGCCGCGATTCAAATCCGGCGGTTGTCGGCCGCCGCGGGGCATGTCGGGAACGCGCCGCCCGCAGCCTTCTGGGAAATGGGAAGCTGGGCGGCGCAGGATACGCTGGGAGTTGTAGTCCTCCCGCCACATGTCTCTGCTTCTACTCACCAGGCACCGACCCAACCCCGCCCCGCGTACTCCCATCCCAGCTACTTATAAACAGTGGTACGAAGAGGAGTGGAGAATGGGCCGAAGTCCCCGTGATAGTTTCTTGGAGTGGCACCTGCCGAGCACAAATGGATTAAGCCCTTTCAGCGTGCAAACTGTTATTGTTTTTGTGGGTACCCCACTCCTGGAACCTCCTAGTGCCAGCTTCCTCAGCCAGCCCTTGTGCCGTCCGGGTTGGAACATGTGCTGAGGCAAGTCTTTTCACTGAAGCTTCCTGGAAGTCCAGAAATTGACCCTTGGAGCTTTGTTCTTCCTTTTCCACCAGAATTCCTCAGGAGTTAGATATCCTTTCTAAGTCCCTGCCCCAAACAGACGTGCGGGTGGGGGTCAACAGAGGTGAAGAAATGTGTGGAAACAATGCCCACTGCCCTCCAGCCAGGAGACCTGGGTGTCCTATCAGGGAGGTGGGATTGTTATGTGACTCCAGGAAGTGAACAGCCTAGGACAATCCGCCTGGATAATAGAAATGAGAGCCCAGGGAGCAGGCACCTGCCTGTAGGCACA